AGTGTCCACCACATTCTGCATAGCTACTGGCACTACCAGAGCCAAGGTCTCCATCTTTCACTTGGATTATTATGATAAACCTTTACCCACTTCTGTTTTCAGTCTTTCCCCCCATACTTTTCACTTCTGTTGAATCAATGTTGACTCATAGCAACCATGTAGGATAGAGCAGCTTCATGTAGGACAGAGTAAACTCTGAGGGTTTCCAAGACTATACATTTTTTTTAAGACTATACATTTTTACAGGGGTAGAAAACCTCATCTTTCTCCCTGGGAGCATCTGGTAGTTTTGAACTACTGACTTTGTGGTTAACAGCCCACTGTGCAACCCACTATGCCATCAGATTATTTAATAGCTCAAGCATGCAGACTTATTTAGGTTTCCACAATATGTGATACTTTTGGAATTACTTTGTATTCCCTCCCCCAGGAATTTCACCCCAACTCTTTTGACTTCTTTCAATGCTTAGGTCTCAGTTTTGACACGTTTTTACTGAGAAGGCATTTCTTGACTCCCAGAGCTGTATTATGACTCCCTCCCATGTGCTTTCGGAGCACGCTATATGTCTATTCTGTAGCATTTATCATACTGTGCACTTTATTTTCTTCTGGGAGCCTCTCGATAGATTGTAAGAAGACATGTATCTCTTTTTACTTACTGCTGAAGCTCTAGCAAATGTCACACTGCACAATACACTTTTTGGATTAAAAATATGTGTTGGTTAATGAATAAATGACTAAAAAGTGAGACAAGATATGTTGAAATTTCTTGGTATATAGACAAAGACAACTGTTAAGCAGTTTTAATAATGAAATGTTACAAAAATAAATGAATGAACAGAGAATCAAAGCATGTGTGGTCCACTTTCATTAGACATTAAAACCTACTTGAGAGCAGAAAATTTATCAAGGGTGAATTTTGTCCTCAGACACTAAGGAGCTTTGTTTCATTTTTTCCCTCATACCTTAGTTTAAGCAGGAATTAAAAACAAATTCTGCTTATCCCAAGAGATCTAGCTAGAATTTTCCTTAGAGTATGAATCATATAAATAACATAATTCTCTAGAGTCTATTACTACTTTTTGTATCTACAATTTTTCATCTTCTCTTATACTTTTAATTATTTATTCAGCATTTATTGTTCTTCGTGTATTGCATAGTAAGATAGAAATGGTTCTATCTAGCAGATAACAATTTCATGCAGAATGGCTATCTATCTGCTAGAAATTTCCACCTCTAATTTTAATGTTCTCCTTTGAGTTGTCACTTTTTCTGGGTGAGCAACACAAATTAGTTCTGAAGCCCACAAGGGAATTTGGAAACATTGCCTAATCTTCACTACGTGCCTCTCCGAGATTGAATGGCCCATATTTTTATAGCTCTAAATTTAGCTACATATCATATTATTGCATACAACAAAAAAACATGAGTTTGGTACATAAAAGTTAGGAGACTAGTGAAAAGCTATTAGAACTTAGTTATAGATAATGAATGAATGTTATGAAATGTGTGCAGTGCAGTCTTTGGCTCAATAAATGGTAGCTATTATAATTATTTGACATTTCTATCATTATCACAACAAGAGGTGGGTGGTCTGTAGAATCAGTCATATTTTGTTTTCTGGTTGTTCAATATATTTGTCTTTATTACTTCTTTTAGTCTACATTTTTAAAGTGGGGATAATAACAGTCTCTCTCTCTCTTTGGATTATTATAAGCATTGTTATTCAGTGCTAGCATATTTTATGAGTTCTGGGAAACTGTGCATTTATTTACATGGATTGTGCTAGTAGACTCAAGCCCAATTTGATTGAAATTTCAAATTATACAAAGAATGCAAAAAATATTTAAGTTTACTCTCTTTCATTATACCATCTCTACTCTGCCAAACTGATAAATGAATGAATTATAATGGTTGATTTTTTTGCTTATCTCAAAAATAGTTCTTACAGGGAAATTCTTAGTTTCCTTTTGATCTTTTATTCGGTAGAATCATTTTTGCGTTGTAGAGATATTTTCAGCCACTTGAAATAGCTTTTCTTCTACACAATTTCCTAATGGCATCTTTCATCTGGGCATTTCTCAAGGTATAAATTAAGGGGTTTAGCATAGGAGTTATGATGGTGTAGAATACAGCAACTGCCTTATCAACAGCTAAAGTGGTTGCAGGCCTCATGTACACAAAGATGCAGGGCACAAAGAATAAGACGACCACTGTGATGTGGGAAACACATGTTGAGAGAGCTTTGCGCCTCCCCTCCAAGGTATGGGTCCTTAGGGAATGCAGGATGACCACATAGGAGACCATCAAGAGGAGAAAGTTTAACAGGCAGATAAACCCACTGTTGGCAGCAACAAAGAGCCCTAGAGTGTGGGTATCAGTGCAGGCCAGATTGAGCAAAGGGTTCAGGTCACACATAAAGTGATCAATAATGTTAGGGCCACAAAAAGGTAATCGAAACATAAAGAGGATCTGTATGGTTGCATGTAGAAAGCCTCCCATCCACACTACTCCCACGAGCAGGCCACACACTCTCCGGTTCATGATGGTTGTGTAGTGCAAAGGTTTGCAGATGGCCACATAGCGGTCATAAGCCATCACAGTGAGAAGGATGCCCTCAGCACCTCCAAAGAAATGTTCTCCAAAGACTTGAGTCATGCAGCCATTGAATGTGCTGGTCTTCCTTTCACGGACTGAATCTGCGATCAGTTTAGGGGTATTGACCGTGGAGTAGCAAGCATCGATAAAGGAGAGATAAGCCAGGAAAAAGTACATCGGGGATCCAAGTGATGGGCTGGCCGTGATGGTGACCACGATGAGCACGTTTCCTACCACAGTGATGATGTAGATGACAAGAAACATGGCAAATATAATTTTCTGCATCTTTGGATTCTCTGTGAGCCCCAGTAGGACAAACTCTGTCACATTGTTTGTACTTTCCATGTATTTTATCCGATGGGTAATTACATTACCTGAAAAGCAAATATTTTATTAAAATAAATGTACTAAAATGATACACTATGATCAACAATCAATGTCTGCGTCATTTTTATTTGTGAATTCTTATTTATTTATTTATTTTTGAGATGGAAATACAGGTAGGTTCTAAATCAGACTGCTTCCCAGATGCATGTGTTGGTCATGATGTGAACATGTAATGTAGACATGAGAAACTTCTGAAAATACATAGGACAGGAGATTATCAGTAAAACTTGGAGATAACCAAGATCCTGAGTTGAAGTAATTAAAGGACATGCAGTGACAATTATGCTTGAGAATGGAGTTGAGAGATGTATGTAAAGCAAAATAGTTTGTCCTTATTCTTTAGGAAACAGAGAATTATGGAAAGTTTTTGAACACATGAATGGAAGGATGAAGTGGAATTTAATGAACAGGAAATCTTGGACTATGTCTTGGACAAAGATCAGTAAATGGGTAGAAGTCTGAGAGAAGAAGAACAGTTAATGCACTGTGTTATTGTTGACAAAAGACTTAAGCACAGGATAGTTGGGAAGATGACACAGGATGTGGCAGTGTTTCATTTGGTTGTGCAGAGGGTCATGGAGGATGGCATCTAACAACATAATGACAGTTGTTGACCAAGGAGCAAAGGAAACTGGGAATTGGAACAGAAGGAAGGATATAAGACCTACTGTGAAAGAATTATAGTAGCTAATGATATAAGCCTCTTAAAAACTGCTTGGTATAGTAGTAAGAGCTTTGTATATGTGATTTCATCTAATGTTTATAACAGCATATGTGGTTTGTATTATTTCACCAATTTTACAGACGTGGAAACCATCAGAGAGACTAATCTTCATAATTCCAATAAAAATGAAAATAATGACTAAAACGTCCTGTACTATATTCTAAATGTTTTTGCAAACATGCGAATTGTATCTTCTATTACTCTGGTATATTCTAAATGTTTTGCAAACGTTATTGTAAAAAAATTATGTTTTGTTAACATTATTTAATCCTCACTAAGAGCCCCGATGGCAATGGACTGCTAAAGGTGTGGCTGACAATTCAAACCCAGGGGTGACTCCAAGAGCGAAAGATGAGGCTGTTGGCTTCTGTAAAGATTGACAAACTCAGAAATTCCCAAGGAGCAGTTCTCTTCTGTATAGGGTCAACTCAGTGGCAGTGGTGTTTTTGTGTTTTGTGATTTTAGATATCTAGGAAATGGCTACTAATACTATTATGATTTTTAATCTGCTTTGCACGTTAGAAAACAGAAGCATGGAGAAGTTAAGGATCCTTTAGATCAAACAGTCAATAAAGGACAGAGCAAGATTTGGTTTCAAGGTATTCCTCTTATTTTTTTCCTTCCAAATTCTCATCAGCATCCTTGATAGTATAATGGTAAGTATTCATACCTGTCACCTTCTTAAAATCAATCTCCTTTTCATATGATCATAGTCATTATAATCATTTTAGCACTACCTCAGAAACAAGTTAATGTGAAGCAATTTCATCAGCAGAATACACACCATGAACACAAACATATGCACCATTGAACACAAATAATGATACAGAAGAACAGCCATGCCATTAAGTGTATGTGTATACATAAACACATGTCTATTTACAATTATTGAATCCCCAAATACCAAGGAATATGTGGCACTGTTTTCATTGAAGGTCCCCTTCATTTGGCCTTATTCTAGCTTCCTGAACTCCCCTTCAAATCTCCAGACTCTACTACAAAATGCTAAAATATTTTGCTATGTGGTTAAGTGTATTGGTGTTGGAAGCAGAAATATCAGATATAGAATTTCTTATGTAAGACTTCTTTTATCTGGGAATACCTTTTTTCTCATATCCCATCCTGTTTTCTCATTTGCAAGCTGAGAACTATATTGCCCATTTCATTATGAGAATTGACTGAGACAGCACCTGTGGTCACCTCTACCATAATGCTGGGGATACAAATAGGACTTTATGCCATTTTTATGACATGCCTAGGAGATAGAAAGATCTGGCACTTAAATAAATAATACAGAGACATATCTAACCGTACTCTAAGTTCAGGAAGAACCATCTCCCAATTAGCTTCTAAAGAAGCCAATGACTCACAGTATCCCAGGAAAGGATAGCATTTGATCACAGGAAGGGAACTCTAGGTATGTTTTTGGACAACAGCTGATGGTTTAACTTCACATCTGTGACATTTTTCTGTGAATTATATTTAAATTTAGTTTATCCTCATAATCAGTCTGGATTAGTAAAAGTTGTCTCTAGCAAGCACATGGTTTCTGATGCTAAAGAGCTAAGTGAGAATCCTCTCCAAAACCAAACACATTGTCATCAAGTTTTTACCAACTCAAAATGATGCTGTTGGGCAGGGTAGAACTGCCCTGTGAGTGTCTAAGTCTGTAACTCTTTATGGGAATAGAAAGCCTCCTTTTTTTCCAATAGAACAACTGGTGGTTTTGAACTGCTGACTATGTGGTTAGCAGCCTAACACATAACCACTCTGCTGCCAGGGATCCTTAGTTATAGTCCTACATATTGTTTAATATCCATGAGCTCCAACTTTTTCACCTGTCAAAGGAGATTAATGATGTTAATTTATATCTTTGGGATGGGTTGGGGAGAGGATAAAACATTATATTAAGATATTTTCTCAGTATGGAAAAATGATTATTTTTATATACAGACAATAATAATCTTTAGTAAAAGGCAACATTACAGAGAAACTTACCTTAGTGGTCTTTAGAGATGACCATAATGATGTTTGGGAGTGTTCAGTAACAGTTACACCTTCAAACTAACCTCCTCAGGGAAGAAATAACATCCAAATGGGAGCTATGAGACATTTGAGGTGAATATTCAGATCATTTAAAATCAAAGCAAACATTGATTAAGTGTTGCTATGAGTCTAAATCTTTCATTTGCTAAAAATCTTTCCACCAGAAAATCGAGATTCATATTTAGAATGGATTCACTTAAAACTCCAAAGAAAATGATCTTCTGTGTTCTGGTTCTGGTCTGAGTTCTTGAATATTTTATATTTTGGCCCTGGTCTTGCAGGGCAAGAGGCAGAACAGATGTGGCAATCTCATTTAAATGGGATACATGATGAATCTTGCTCTGCATGCATGAATAGGAACAATAGACAGGTTCAGTTTGTACAACCTACATATTTAAAGAGGTCTTCATAAAGGTTTGTAGTCTTGTCCTGTGGCTGCTACTTGCTCTCTCAGGAATAAATGATCTCCTTGGACAGAAAGACTTTGTCTGAGAAGCTGGTATTCTGGAGGGACATGTTAGAAAAACAACAATTTTTCAAGAGGGAATTATATTCCCTGCTCTTAGAACCTAACCGTGTGACACTGCCCTCTCTCTAGCTGAAGCCAGATTGCTAAGGAAGCTGAGCACTCTGTGAGTAGTCAGTCATATGGTAGCATAATTCCTGGGTGTGGACCTGTGATGTTTAGTTTGCCTGTTGGCTCATATTACAAAGGAAACCTCTGTATTTTGTTGATATTAAACCTCTCCTGGAAATTAATTATCGATTGTTTGAGAGCTGGAGTATGGAGAGCATAAAATGATGGTTGAGATGATACAGTCCTTGCCCCTTAGTTTAGGTAGCCAGAAACCCAAAAAAATGTCAGATTAAAATATTCCTTTGGACTCATAGTCTGGTAAGCATTGAAAGCTATCTCACTGCCTAAGTCTATTTATGGTGTCGGACTGCTTCATCTTTCTTCCACAGAGCACTGGGTGGGCTTGAATCACCAACCTGTGGTTAATAGTGCAATGTTGCACGTGACATCACCACCGAGCTAGTGAGCATTCAAAATTGCTTAACCTCAGTTCTCTGTCACTTGGGACTGTTTGCTGTTTTCTATTCATCATTTTAGGAGTACATAGTGGTAAGTCACTGTGATTGGATTTGCCTCTCACTGATGACTACTGAAATAGATCTTTTTTTTTTTTCTCTCATGTTCCTTTTTTTAAAAAAAAAGAATTATTCTGACTTGGGGGACTGAGTTTACAGAAGAAACGGCTTTTCCAGTTAACAATGCATGCGCGTTTTGTTTCATGACACCAATTGTAATCCCCACAATGTGACAGCACTGGTTGCACTTCCTCCCTGCCTTTTCCATCTCCGTGGGCCTTTCTTTCCAGTCCTTTCTTGCCGTCGGAGCTTTATTCCTGGGCAAATATTGTCCTTTCGATCGAGAATAGCCGAGTGTTCCAAAGTCAGATTGTTCACCCTGCTGGCCTGTCTATGGTTTGTCTGAAAGCCAAACCATGGGGGTGAGCTCAATTTTAGGCTTGAAGAGTGACTAGCAGCCATAGGTTTGGAGTTCTACCAGTCTTTATCAGTAATCTTGGTCTTCTTAAAAATGATTTTGAGTTTGGTTCCATATTCCACCCCCCACACTATGCAGGACCTTATATCGATATCCCTTTCCGAGTGGTTGGTAATGACAGTGGAGCAGTTCTGCTAGGTAGCACAACGGGAACCAAGGGATGTCCCTCTGCATGCTAAGGCCTCACCCTCCCCAGTACAGGAAGTTGGGAGCTGATAAAGGTTAGAGGGCCTGCACAAATTCAGGCCTTTGAGGTACAAAGCCAGTACACTTGGGAGGGCCCCAATCTGGTCCAGGTGGGCTTAATTCAGGCAAGGGATCGGCCACATCTCCCAGCGGTGGACCCCAAAAAGGCAGAATCGGGGGCCCACCTCCCTCTTTCCCAGCAGCTCCCAAGTGTGCTTCGGTTTCTCTGGCCTCGGGTCTCCACGTGCGGGTGTGAAGTGCCCTGAGGGAGCCTGTGTAAAACCCGAACTTCTATCCTTTCGAAAAACTCACTCGGATCTCAAACTAGGCTTCAGCGTGAATTCTCTCTCCTGCGAAGCCAAGGACCGAGGTATTTTCCACCCAGGGAATCTAACCGTTTTCTGGTATCAGGATAGTGGAGGTGGTTGTTTACAC